TGACTTTGCTCAGAACATCAACTGGTAGGTCTGCTTATGCAGAAAGGTAAGGGAGAGGACACCAAGGAAAGAAAAACCTGCACTACACTTTACTGTTTAACACAGTGATAATTCTCTTTGCCTGTCTATCCAGCTCAGTGGTAATTCTCCTTATCTACCCTGATGTGCTTTTTAAAATTATTACTTGTCATAATGAAAAAAAGAAAATGCCAAAGGCAAAGATGAGATCTAATCTGTATAGACTAATAATACAGTAGAGCTCATATAAAGCTGCTTTCCAAAGGCTTGATCCAGATTTGCTCATACTTAGAGTAGACTCCCATTGAATTCAATAGTCGTTAAGTTAGAAATGTCTAGCATCAGCTCTATTGATATGAATGGACTCTCACTGTGTGTGACTAAATCTGAGCCCAATCCCAAAATTGCAAGGAAGTTAAGATGACACATCTCACAACATTTATTATCACTGATAATCCAGTAACAGTCAAGCAAGCCACCTGTTACAGCTCAAATGATTCTATTTCATGTTTTATCTATTAACCCTGTCTCCAGTCACTGAATAAACCATGAACATTCTTGCTGGAATCACATGTGTGGAATCGTTTGCCACTGGCTTGAAAAAAGGATAAGAAGTCTAAACAAGTCTTTCTAAAATCTGGTAATCAGCAGTCAGTCTTTGCAGAACTACACTCTATATGGGGCTATTCCGGTTTCATGGTGCCATTTTCTATATGAAAAGACATCTGGATGTTCTATTTATTTATTTTACTCCTGTCAAAATCTATTTCTCAAATATTAGAACTGCTTGCTGCAATCCTACACACATGCATTTGAGTGCCAATGCCATCAAGAGCAACAGATCTGGCAGGCAGAAGGGCAGAATACAAATCATCTAATTTACTGCACTCCTGCCTAACATCAGAAATGATGGTTATGCTACTAACTTGTTCACCCTGGCTTCTGACAAGCACGAACAGACATGATGGCTTCTGTCCAAGGTTACAACTAAAATGTGAGGACTTTCAGCATTTTATGAGCTCTCAAATAAACTATTTCAGAATAAATAAAGCATAACATGTATACCATGCTTTTAAGAGACTGCAAAAAACAGTGCAATGAGCACTAAACATTCACAGAAAAATCTGGTGCTCATAAAAAAAGACTAGCATCCATTATTCAGTATTGTGCAAACTGTACGCAGTGGGGAAAACACAGTATCTGCACTTTTGGACACAATGGAACAGTGTGCCAAATGTACCAAAGTTGCGTAGATTGATGAAGTTTTAAAAGACAACAACAGTTCACTGATTTCAGGGAAGTGCGAATGCCTTATTTAATATTTTGTACACTTAGTGCAATGCTATGAAAGAGGTTCGAAAGAGGTTCTCCAAAAGGGATCGGAGAGGTGGAAGAGAGTGCATGTTCTATGATTCTACCAAACAGAGCCAACAGGGCTTAGTTTTCTGAGCAGCTGTTTTTAAAGAGGAGTTTGAGGTCTAAGACACACTTCTGTGCGATGCGGAGATGCTGTAATTGTCTAATACAGCTTTCCCCAACACGGTGCCTTTCAGGCAGGATGGCAGTCCCCAACCAGTGTTCCCTGCTGGTTGAGGCTGATGGGAGTTGTAATCTGGAAAGTGCTGTGTTGGAATAGGCCACTCTTGTGCCATTAAGAAGATCAGGATTCCTAGTAAAGTAAAATGACCCATATGAAGAACACTGAGCATTTCTCCACTAAGGAACAGGTTTTGTTGTTAACCATTACAATGACTCCCAACAGAACTGCTATATTATTTCCCATAGGAAGAAACTGCAACTATTTATCTATAGGAGAGAAATTAAAAGTGGAGTACTGATTAATTAGAAGGGGCTAAATGGCTCCTTGTCCCTTGTGACCAAAGATATTCAGCAGCAAGATCCATCACTGATTCCCTCTCTAGGCTGCAACAGGGAAGGAGCAAATACTGGGAACTTGCTTTTCTAGAAAGAGTGGATCTAATGTCCCAATCCTACCACACAAAACAGCTTTTGCAGTTGAATGTTGGCAAGATACACACAGCAGGTATTTGGATACAGGTGTCATATGTAAATGTGTATGATGGCTTTATATTTTGCAATTATTGCAGGACATATTTGAAGCAGAAATGCAGTGGAGGGAGAGAAAGAGAAAAAAGATGCTTAAGTCTTTCCCTGCTCTCCACTCTGTTCTCAATTGCCCCCTCGGGCCGATTCTACCATGCTGGCTGCATGCAGATGTTACCCAAAATTCTCCCACATTCCAGTCCTACAAATGAATGGTGAACCCATTCTCCAGGTGTGGAGCCTTATGTAAGGAAAACAGCACCATCCAGATAGAAGAGGAAAGGTACTACCAGGTAACTGCAAAGTTTAGCGAAGCACCAATAAACTTTAAGAAATAAAAAACTAAAGCAAGACACTTCTCTCTCTCTAGGAGCATTTTTGGGCTACTAAAACCCTTCCTAAACGCTTAAAAAGCTGCAAATGGGAAAATGTTTCCGTTTATTCATATTGTCACTCAGAACAATCGTGACTCATTGGTTGTGGTTCAGAATGCACAGTGTACAGGGGTTAAGAACGATTTATGGATCCCTGGTGTCCTGCCTGGGTTCCCAGAAACAGCCCCTGAAATGAAGCACATACCTGATCGGTCTCTGCAGGCATGGCAGAAACCAAGAGCAGCAGCTAAGACAGTGGGAAAGAGCGGGGGCTTTCCTTTAAAGGGGCCTAGCCTAACAGCAAGAGCTGCAAAGCTGCTCAGCAATGCTACAGCGATTAGCAGACCTACCAACAGGTTCTCAGCAGGGATGAGAACCTTTACCAGGAGCCAGTGCACAGCACTAGAAAGCATTGACAAAAATGCACTTCCCCAAACTACAGCTGACTGTTTTTCCGCTTAAGAAAATCCAACATGTCTGGAATCCAATGGAGGGGAAGGGCATTTAGAGCAGAGAAAAGATGGGTGGTCAGCTTTCTCTCCATATTTCTTCTCCTCTCCAAATTGCCCCCCCCCACACACACACACACACACAAAATTGCTTTTTCTAGCTGAGTCTAGGTACATTCATTTGCATATGAATTTATGTAAACCTCAAGGGAGATCCTAAGTAGAACTCCTTAGGGAGATCCTAAGTAGAGTACAGGAGGGGCCCTGGAGCTGAGAAGGGCCCTGCAAACTGCCAAGGTCACAGGAAGATGGGAAAAACATTGTATCTGGGAGCAACTCTGGCCCTGGACTCCAATGAAGGGGACGGTTGCCAAGGCTGGATGGAAGACTAGTAAGCTGAATAACTGGAAGAGTGACAGAAGAGGGTTGAGGAAAGGAACCAGGGACCGGGTGCCATGTCTTGGTAGAAATCGTTTTTCTGGGTTCAGATCAAATAAATCATGGGATAAGGCAACCTTCCCTAAGCTGGAATCCTCCAGGTATGCTGTACTACAACTCATGGCATCTTGACTGCAGTGATGGGAAATGTTCTCCATCGGATAGGCACTGGGGAAAGCAGCTAAAGTGGTATGTGAAGAAGTTTTACAGGAGTCCTTAGCAGATGGAAGAAGAAGAAAGTCTTCCAAGCAAAGGCAGGAAGATCTTAGAAGACTGGATCTTCTGCCAAATCCTCTCCTAGATCCCAAGAAGTGTGAAGAGGAGGAGGAGGAGGCATTGATACTAAGTGCTGCGGGAAGAAGATTTCTGGGAGAATGAAAGACATCATACCTTTGACCCAAAAGTCACCATCACGTGACTTGCAGACAAGACACCAAGCACAAGGGGGCTGGATCAGACCAAGGGGCCAACAAGTTCATCATCTGGTTTCCTGCAATGGCTGGTCAGATGACCCAAGAAGCCCAAAGCTGAGGCATGAAAGGCAAAAGGCTGATTTTGCTCCCCAGAAACAGGTATAGGCACCATATCTATTGGTGTACTTCTCCTGCACCTTCCAGTGGGATCTGTGCCTGGCAATATCCAAGGGGACTGGATGCCATGAACAGGGGAGATGGCACGGGGGGGTGTTCCTGCCTTAAGCACCCAAGCACCTTGAACCGGTCCTGTGGAGAACTGTGACCCTTTTCCCTGCTCTGCTTCAGGTTGCATCCAGATTGGAAAACTTCTAGAGCCACCAAGCTATCAAAGGCATTGTGCAGCTTTTGCTCTGGCTTCTCCTCCTTAAAGGGTTTCTTTCATGAAAGGAAAAGGGTGGGAAGAAGTGCTGGGAAAACCACAAGAAGTGGTGGGAAAAGAGATGGGCTGAGAGATGGAAAAGGAGAGGACAGGGCATCTGGGCCACCTGCAGAATTCCTGGAAGGAGGCTAGGAGGTGGCAACATCACTCGCCCGCAGGAAATTTTTCATTCTTGCAGGGCAAGCCAATGGGAAGAAGTGGAAATGGTCATTTGGGAGCATGAGAATGGTCCAAACCAGAGCAGGCAGAACCAGAGAACGACTTTCCCTGGAGCGCAAAGGCAGGGGGTAAAGAAGCGCCATGTTCACACAGAACCGGTCTGGAAGGTTTGGCATCACGCGGAGAAAGCGAGGCTTGCGAAGTGACGCGGAGGCGCCGTGGAGAGGGCTACAGCTGAGCGGACCGGCAACCTGCGGCCACGCTTTCAACCCGCCGCACTTCAAGCGCGGCTGCGGGGCAGGGGGCGAAAGGCGCTGAGCGGAATGTGTCCTACGAGCCAACGCATCCCCCCCCCCACGCCATTTCCCGCAGCGAGTAAGTAGAGCCGGAGGCTGCATGGGCCGGAGAAGGCAGGAGGGCCGCTTCAGGCGTTACACACGTTCCTATACGGTTCGGGAAAGATACCGCGCGACCCGCGTGCAGGGCGTCACGTGTGAAGATGGCACACGTGTGACGACGGCGGGGTTTGATTTTGATTTTTGCTGTCTTCCCCTCCCGCCGCTAACCTGCATCCCCCTCCCGCCGCGCGCCCGCCCGCCCGCCCGCCTTTGCACCCGATCGCGGCCCGGCGCGGCGCATTTACCGTGGGGGCGGTGAGGCGGCTGATACTCTCGCCCAGCGAGTCCAGGTTGACCCGTCTCCTGCGAGGAGCCCTCCTGGAGCCGGTGGGGGCTGGCACTGCCGCCGCCGCCGCCGCCGCCTCTAGCGGAGGAGCAGCGGTGGCGACGGGGGTGGTGGCCCCCGACTGGCCCGGAGGGCTCCGGCTGCCGTTCCAGCACAGCCTGGCCACGGGGCACTCGCCCTCCTCCTCCGGGCTGGTCTCCAGGTAGTCCGAGCCGAGCGAGCTGAAGGATTCCGAGGAGATCTTTCTCCGGGACATGCTGGCGGCGGCGGCGGCGGCGCGGGTCGCGGCGGCGATGCTGGAGCGGCTCGGCGGGGAAGCATCAGCCGGAGAGGGGCACCGGGGCGGCGGCGGGGCGGGGAAGGCGTCCCGCGGGGCTGCCGGGGCTGCCGAGGCGCATGGCTGGGAGCCCGTCCGCTCGCTCCTTCGCGCGGGTCCGCGCGCTCGGCTTGCTGGCAGCCGCCTGGCTGGGCGGCTTTAAAGGCGACGCCTCCGTCCGCGGCCCCCTCCTCTCCGCCTGCCCGGCTCTGCCTCCCCCGCTCGCTCGGCGCTCGCCCGCTCGCTCCAGCGCTCGCCCTCTCCGCTGGCGCCGCCGCGCCGCCTCGCTCCTCCTCTCGCCTCCGCCGGCATCACGTGTGCGCCGCGGGCAGGTTGGGCTCGCCCGTCGCCAAATTCAAAAGCGGGAAGGAGCCCGAAGAGGAGCAGCCGGGGGAAGGGCCGCAGCGGCGGAAGGGCCCAGCCAGGCCTGCGCCCCGCTCGCCCGGTGGCCAGAAAGATGCCGGCGGCTGGCTCAGGCAGGACCTGAGTGCGCCCAGCACCTGGCGTCCGCAGACACCCTCCTCGTCCTGCAGGTAGCTACGGCCCTCGGGACTAGTCGCCGTGCACAGCTGATTGGCCACGGGTGGGTCCAGTCCCCTTCTGAAGGCATCCAGGTGTGGCCATCACCGCATCTCGTGGGATTAAATCCCACAGTAGTGTGAGCGTCCACCGCTCCGGGAAGTAGCTTTCATGTCCAGCATGCATACCTGTGCAAGAAGGCACCTTGTTTCAAGAGGAGACGCACTTTGCAAGCCATGGATGGTGGTTCATGGCTCCATCATCATGAAACCCAGCAAGGACTTGCAGGTGTGAATGCTGGGTACCCAAATCAACCTGCAAATTAGATTAATGGGCAGTAATAAAAAAAATGAAACTCGTGCAACAGAAAAATCAGGAAAAATGCCAAAGCCAAAAGCATGCAATGTGAAGAAAACTAGAGCATGAGATTAAATACCACACTAACAAGTTCTTACAACACTCTTCACTGCCAATCTCAATAATGAGGGAACATGCACACTTTGCTAGGGAAGGAATTCCAAAATCAGGAGGATGCTACCAAAAAGGCCCCATCCTAAGTACCCTCCATCCAGCCTCTCCAGATGATGATTGAAAATTGCAGGCAGGTTCTTATTGGAGGAGGCAATTTTTCAGAGCTCCTGGTTCAAAATTGTTTAAGGCTTTAAAAGTAAGAAACAGCACCTTAAATGTGCTCTGGTACAAACTAGAAGCTAGTGAAAGTGGTCCAGGACAAGTATTTTATGGGCCATGAAGTGCACTCCAGACAGGTAATTTTATGCCATCTGTAGCTCCTGAGCAGTTCCATATTTGTATGGAATATATTACATATATTACACGGTGACTGAGGCATGAACCTTTGTGATCAGCCTCCTTCTCTAGGCAAGGGCATAACTGGCAAGGCAGACAAAAACTGGGCAAAGAACTCTTGGAACAGGAGCACCAGCAGGTGCAAGAGCACTCAAAAACAGTGAAACAGATCCTTCAGAGGGAGAGCACCTCCTCCAGAACAGACTGTGCTCCCAGTTCCAGGCTGGCTTTTCCACTGACCAAATGGACCTTCAGTTCTTCATTGCATCCAGATAGAACTTCCACTGCCACCTTGACTTTAGTCACAAAGGAAAGGTAGAACTGGGAGTCATGGGCATAATAGAGCGACCTTCCCAAACACCAGGGAACCTCTCCCAGAAGTTTTATGCAAACATTGAAGAACATGAGGGGGGGGCAGAAGAAAGCCCCCCAGAACATCTGGAGGGTCACAGGTTGCCCACCACTGTTCTAAAGCATTGTGTAAGTACCACAGAAGGTGGTAGTTGCTGTCCAAGGTGCTGTCCGGTTCCAACTAGTCATGCATCAGTGCTTGATGCTCCATTCCATGTTCTCCTACTCAGTTTTCCAAGGAACACATTGTATTTTATGGCTGCTCAATGTGTTTGTGCTAATTGGGCTGTGTCACTGGGGGGAAGGGACCCTCTTAAGTGGGGGAGGGTGATATTTTTTCTACTTCTGCAAACCTCAGAGGTTCTCCCAAGCCAGATGGTACTTCTCCCTAGTTTCTAAGTGAAACATAGTTTTCAAGTTTCTAAGATTTGTCCTTCACCCTTCTACTTAGAAGAATGGCTCTCAGGGTGGCTTACACTCATAAATAAAGCGTCATGAAAAGAATGCATGAAAATACAATTAAAAACACAACCATAGCAGAATAAAACAGAAAATAAATGTTTCTATGTGCTGTTCAGAGATTGAGAGGCTCTTTCTGCAGACATAAAGTCTAACAGGGACAAAACAAAAAGGAACAGGGAGAGAAGAAGCCAAATGGATGACATAATTCAAATACTGCAGCAAAGTGCTATGTGCTTGTGTCACTTTTCCGTTGTCTCTTTATTCTCTTGCTTTTTGTTGGCTGTGTGCTACCTCCTTTACTTGCATAACCCAGTGGCTGAGGAGCTTGGGGAGGAGGACGTCTTACACCGATCCTGCCTGAGCAAACCTTTGGCCAGTGGTTTGCCACCACGTGTACAGAGCAATGGACTACATAGTCCATTGCTCTGATCCAGCATAGCTTTTCTTATCTCCTTATATTCCTTTATTTTAAGAGTTTCTCTAGATGAGGCATTAAGCTGATGATTTTACTGAGGGTTTTTCTTCTTCCCTTCTGTCGCCTTCCCTTCCCTTCCCTTTTTGGAAAGAAGCATCCTTTTACATTAGATCCCTACCACCACCACCACCACCAGGGTTCCCCTCTCTGCTTTTCTAAGGTGGTCCCGTGGTATACAGTGGAATTTACACTTCATACAAGTCTTCTGTAGTAATGGGATCATCCAGGAAAGTATGATATTGCCCTCACTCTAATTAAAGCTGTGCAAATAGGTGGAGAACACACAAGAAGATGACAATATTGTATAAAAGACATACAAACTTCCATGAGTGAAAGACCATAAGCATGTGATAAAGTCCTAACAGAAGGATTACTGAGTTGCTCATTTAACATATTCTTTCTCCCAAATATATTTTTAATTCACTGCTGGACAGTTCCCACTTCTTTTACTCTTTCTTTCTTTCTTTACTTTTTCCCCAGACAAATTTGGGCTATAAGAAGCAGAAAACAAACTGAATTCCATATTTTGGAAATATTAATTATTGATACCAATCAAAATGCCCCCCAAAATTCTGCAGAATTACTCAACAAGCTGGGCGGTACAAAAACCAGATTATGGGGAAAGAAATAGTACAGTTCTGAGAGCTGGCCTCACAACCACAACATCTGGCATTATTTTGGTTTGTCTTATATTGTTCAACTGTGTTTTAAGGATTTTAGAAATTGTCTACCAAGGGACTTTTTTTGATTAGCTATAGAGTAAGTTTGCAAAATTTTACTGCCTTGAAATGTATGTAAACATAGAAGTTCACAATAAAATATTGGCATCAATGCCAAGATAACCCCCGTCTCAGAAAAAGTGTGACTTCCTGCAGCTTTCTCAAGCACAACTTATGATTGATTGATTGATTGTTCGATTTATATCCTTCCTTTTAACTACAAAGGGCTCAAGGCAGCATACATCATCTCTCCTCCGCCATCTTATCCCCACAGCAACAACCCTGTGAGGTAGGCTGGGCTGAGAGTCTGTGACTGGCCCAAAGTCTCCCAGTTGGCTCCATGGCTGAGGGGGGACTAGAACCCAGATCCTCTGAGTCCCAGCCCCATGCTCTTAACCACTACACCACTATGAGGAAATAATGGAATTAAAAAGGGATTGTAAGAAAATACGAGTCAGGCAGCATGGGAGGAATGCTACTTTCAAGAAGAGAAATAAAGTTTAACCCTGCTTTGAAGGAGGAGGATGCCTTGAAAAACAATGAGAGGCAAGCAATCTAAACCCTCAAACCTTTTCTTGTTTAACTCAGCCCACGTCTTCCTTTTCTAGCTGTTAAAAAAGTTCATGGAAGTTGTGCTAACAACATCACATATTCCATCAAAGCCCCCACAGCCTAAACTGCCTTTGGCTAATATACTGTTTTAATTAGTGTTGCCAGAGGAAGAAAGGGAGAGATGCACTTGTGAAGAAAAGGGACATTTTATTATTTGCATTTTTTTAATGGCAAGCATTCTGTACCACATTGAGGCCTTTCGGTCAAAAAGCAGCATTGCCAGAACCATCTGGATGGTGGTGGAGAGAAACCACAGTGGAGCATCTGCCATGACCGAATCCCAGTTGATTCACACTGGCCATGGCATAAGATAAGGGGCTGGGTTTATCCTACTCCCTGCCTTGCATTCCCATGAACCCTTGCATTCCCAACACTTGCATTCCCATAAATCCATGAATCCATAAGAGGGGAGCTCACTACACCAACTCCAGTACTTAGTTTCCCCTTTGGGATGCATCAGGGATGAAGTATCTTTGAATACTGTGAATCTGAAACCTATCCTGACCTAGCCTGGAACACCCTCCCTACCCACCCCATAACACTCACACTGATGGCAAAGTATCAGGGATTCCTTCTGTGAAATAAGCGCCACCAACTGACCAGCATTTTCATAATATCCTGAACTTCATCAGCTGATGAGCAGCAAGAATGCAGCCTAAAATATGGTACAACATCATATATAAGGCTTCCAGCACATACCAGAAAGACTAATCACTTATAGTGTTATGCTCACATGACTCCAGTCCTCCATCAGCTTCACTGGCTTCCCATTGAAGCCCGGGCCCAATTCAAGGTGTTGGTTATGACCTATAAAGCCCTAAACGGCTTGGGTCCTGGCTACCTGAACGAGCGCTTACGTCCGTATATGCCCAACCGCCCCTTGAGATCTGCGGGAGAGTCCCTTCTCGGGGAACCCTCCATGAAAGAAATTAGGAGAGTAAGTACTCAGAGGAGGGCTTTCTCTGCGGCGGCACCCAACCTATGGAATTCACTCC